ACAATTCTTCAATGAAGCTTTTTGACGCAAAATTCTCAGTGATCTGTTTGACTTCACTTCCTCAATGAAGTGGATGATGTTTAATCCTCAGTGATTTGCTTCTCCAACTTCACATTCCCAGTGAAGTGGACGTGTTTTACCCCTCAGTGGATCTCCATCAACATCGATCTTCTCCAGCATGAGTCTCTCCAGTGAAGCGGATATTTATTTTATCCATGAAGTTTCTATAACTATGAGCTTGATCCACCCCTAGTGGATCTTTATCCTCGCCTTCAACAGGATAATCTTTCAGACTTATCAAGATGCTGCATCCCAAATGGATTGATCTCCGTTCCCCAAGAGAATTTTTGAAGCAGGAGTGTGGTCCCATATCTGGTTTTCCACCTATCCCCAGTGGTGCTTCTACCTTCGAAGATTGGTCGAGATGTTTGTCTCGAGATGTTTATTTCATCTCCGGTCACCTATTTCTGTCTGTTTTTGTCAGCATAAGCATACGCGTAGCATATAAGTAGACAGCATAGCATGTGCATTTCTTTGCATTCTCTGTGTTTGTTTTATCCTATCGCCTTGGCTGTAGTTATCCCTAAGTGTTTGGTGTGTCTTATCCTTCCAATTAGATTCGACCCTAGGTAGAAAGAGCACAATGTTTCATTTTCCCCATGAAGTTCAATCCTCATGGAAGATGGTTATTTCAGTATAATTCCATCTGAGTTCATACCTCAATGGTCGAGTCTTGCTTGACAGTTTCTCTTCAGTTATTTCCTGAATTGAACTTCGGTCCTTGGCAATCACATCGTGGATATCTCCAACTTTCAAGCATGGGTTAAGTGTGCATTTATTTTGCACCCTATTCCCCAAGGGGAATATTCATGAAGACGGACGTTTCTTCAACAATAACATTTGGACTATAACATCTATCTCTTTATTTGAGCAACTCGATTTGATCAGAATCCTATTCAAAACGACAAACGACATTTTCTACAAGACAGATCATTTACCCTCAGTGGAGCCCTTCAGCATTATTGGTTCATCAGAGAAAACAGTTACAGACATTTCCTCAGGATTGACTTCCCCAGTAAATTCATCACACAGGCTTACTTCCGTCGAGTGACATCTCCCCAGAGAAGTCAAGGACGTCTATCACATTAGTCTCTCTTTATTTGAGAGGACATACTTTACAATTTAACCGGTTCTCATCTCTTCCGAAGATCCCCGTTGAAGCTTTACGAATTACATCTACAATTCACAACTACAAGATTTACATCTACAAGTTACGTTTACAAAGTTCTACAAGTTACAACTACATGTACAAATTACGAATTACATCTACAACAACGGAGTACGTTACAGATTACATCAACAACATTTACAATCTACAAAGTTCAACAACGAACAACATCTACAGTTTACAATGACGTCTATAAAATTACAACCCCTTATGAAGAGGCTCTCACAAGTTTCATCATTTTGGGAAGAGACTGAGACCAGCTCGTGGTTCCCATACCATGATGCTCGGGGAAGTTCTACATAAGAGACTGAGACCAGCTCGTGGTTCCCATACCATGATGCTCGGGGAAGTTCTACATTAGGGACCGAGACCAGATCATGATTCCCATATCATGATGCTCGGGGAAGTTCTAACAGGAACCGAGACCAGCTCATGATTCCCATATCATGATGCTCGGGGAAGTTCTAACAGGAATCGAGACCAGTTCGTGGTTCCCATACCACGATGTTTAGGGAAGTTCTACATCAGAGACTGAGACCAGCTCGTGGTTCCCATACTATGATGCTCGGGGAAGTTCTACAACTACATCAACATTTACATCAACAACAACTACAATCTACAATGACGATCATTCGAACATCTTATAGTTCCTGGTTAATCTCGACAATGGATTCCCAGAAGACCTCGACAGTAGGTAATTCCATTTCATTTCCTGGATAATCTCGATAGTAGACTTCCAGAAGACTTCGTCAGAAGTATTTCTCCAATAGACCTCAACACAGAATCTCGACAGTAGATTCCTTACAGATTTTAGCAAAAAATATTTTGGCAAAGGTATTCTCAATTACAGTTACAAGTCTCGACAATAGACTTCTCCAGCTGATATCTCGAATCAATTACATTACATATACAGTAGATTCCTTAAGAGGATTTCTCTTCCAAGTTTCCTCACAACATATTTACATACATTTTGTGACTGCCAATCTTTCCCCATGGAGTTTCGCTCTGTTGAGCCTATCCTTCCGGTGTGATGTGTCTAGTTTCCCACCCGTGGCGCCAGTTATCCACAGGGCCTCTCTGTCTTGCATTCCATATCATTCCATATCATTTCATATCATTGCATATCATATGCATTCGGTGGTACCTTAGGGCCAAAAATTCGTGCAATGTTTGTATTTAAGTCCCTTCTATCTCGTCGAGACGAAGATTTCAATCTTCATATCTCCGGATAGAAGTAACTTAAATAGGGGCATCTGTTGCACCCTAATTTTTGACCGTAGGATCCCACCTCTTTTCGCGTATTTTCTATTGTTATCTGACTTTATTTTAATATTTAATATATATGTGACTAACCAATTTTTGTAGACGCAGTAATATCAAGTGAAGGTCTTCTGTGTCATTTCAACTGGCTCTGTCATAGACTATGGATTTATGGTTTGAGCACATCCCCATCAAGTATCAAAGTCACCTTATTCAATATTTCTCAAACGCCTCAAAGTATGTCCCGAGAAGAACCGGGGTCTTTCTCTTATCGATGTTGGATAAAGTCTTGTATCGGATTCATAATGCTAGAGAAACTGTATTCTCATTTGCGAGAAATGAATTCAAGAAGGCTCAAATTGAATGAATTTATTCAAGGGGCAACATTCCAGAGGTTTGGATAAGGGTACAAGAAATGGAATTGTTTTCAAGATCAATTCAAATATTTCTGGGTGATTACAGTCTAATACAAAGTTCGAAATCAAAGACTCAGGTTACCGTTATTATAAGAGTTCCATACGAAAACAAAATTTCAAGTTTGGGGTAGTTGCATTACATTTATTTCCAAAGCAGAGAGAGTTAAGATGAAATCTGAGTTTAAGCAATACTAAGGATAAATCAAATCGAGAGACTTTCAAACCAATTTTTAAATTCAAGCCCATCCTAATAGCTTTTAAATGATGGAAAAAGATTCAAATATGTTCATACATCTATAACATAAGTCTAAGTCGAACTTCACTGCAGAATTCAAAGCCAAATTTGTTACAATAATTTGTTACAATTCTATGCCGAAATTCAGAGCTAAGCCATTATGCGAATCTTACCAATCCATGAGAAACACAACAAACCTAAGAACAAGTTTTTCTAGTGATTACAATGTACTGTGGTGAAGTTATTTATCCTAGTACCAAGAAGCTCCCGACGCAGAATATGCGACCTTGCGGACTGAAGCGGTGGCATGCCAGGGAAATCCTTTATGCCTGAAACTGAAGACACAGAGATATCAGGAACTCTCTCCCGTTTCCAACCTTCTCCCACATTTCCATGAGTAAGTGGGTTCGGTTTAAGACGACACCCTCAAGCCATCATGGAATCCAACTCGGCGGCTCTTGCACCTAGAACAACCGAAATCAATTATCATTAATGTCCATTGAATTACCAAAAAAGAAGCTACCAAAACATGTCTCATAACAGAAAGAATGCGAAACAGACTTACTTCCAAGAGTGTTATTTTTCCTGTCCAAAGTCATAGGTAGAATCCATCATTGCACCTGCAAGACCTTCATCAGCAGAATACATAATACAAATTCACAACCGCAACCGGCACCATCCTATTCCTAAGAAACCTACGCTCCAGCTACGTCGAGGCATCACCATTCCCTGCAAACCAAAACACATACGTGACTAATTGACCTTCAGAATACGACAACTTTTATGATTGAATTGAAGGAGAAACTCAAACGCAAACCATTACTAAACCAAACGCATAAAAGGCTTATGACTGCTCTAGCCTACATTTATTTCAGTAGAAACATTTAGTTTCAATCTCTTTCAACCGAAATACCGACGCTTCAGAGACTACCAGCCTGCACTGCTTCTACCGCTGCAAACAAGAAAGTGGAACAATTTGTCAGCCCCCATAAGAACGGAACGAACAAATTCAAAGAGCATGGATATGTCCGTTACCTTACAAACCGGTCTCGTCTCGCGCCGCATTACTCTTCCAATTGGTAAAGGAGCTGTGCCATGATCCTCAAATCATCCCTGCAAGGAAATAGAAATCAACTCAGCATCCTATGGACCACAAGAACATGAATTCTAAGAAGTTGCTACAACTTTGAGGCTCAATTGACATGTAGATAACAAAGCTTCAAAGTGTTGTGTAAATATAAAATCTACAGAAACTCTACATACCCTTCTGTCAATCCCAGAAGTTGTGGATACAACTCTTCATCTTTTCTTCAATTCCTTTGGATATTGGATCAACTGAATAAATAGCCATTTTTTATCCGCGAATACAAATCCCCAAGCTGCCCCATGCTTCGGCCTGCGGTAACGTCACACAGATTCGGTTATCGGCTACAAATAAACATACCAATTAAATTCCCAACAGAACTGTATGCAGAGAAGTTTTATTACAAGGAATGAATGTTCAGAAACCTTACCCATGAACAACCATCAATCCATGAAATCTCCAAATCAATGTCAAATTCCTTCCAACACCAACACCGAGCATTCAACCGAGGTGACTTCGACCACGACCGTGTTAACCACAAACCAACAACACACATGAAGGATACGCCCTTTGCCTGTCAAAAAAAACCAATTGCCACAGTCAATTAACCTTCAGCATACATGAATTAAAGAAGGGAAACATTTGCTGTACCACAGTATCAAAAGGGAGATATCTCTAATGAACATCCAGCTTCTGCCAGCAATGTGGTCTACTTTGATGATGTTTTGAAGTTTCTGCATAGAAAATTGTCACAATGAGACTAGCAAGTACGGGGAGATGAGTCAAATGCAAATTTATGCCACGGCAGCCAAACTTTTCAAGTCATGTGCCCATGAATACGAGATTCGTCAAGAAATGGCAACAGCTGCTTTGGCATATAAATGCACGGAAGTGGCATACATGAGAGTGGTTTACTATGGACATTCTAGTACGAACCGGGATCGGTGTGAGTTGCAATCAACTCTTCAAGTGGTTTCTCAAGGTGAATCTCCTTCATCTTCAGCATCTGATGTTGATAACTTAAACAATCAAGTGGCAATGGATAAGGCGGCTACTTTGCCCAAGGTTACTAATGCTCATGTTGCTGGTAACCATGTCATATCTGTTCGAACTCGTCCAAGTTTGGTCAGGCTTCTTGATTTTACTCATGATATAAATTTTGCAATGGAGGCTGCTACAAAGTGTCATAGCACTTTCTCCGCGGCCAATGCGAAGATGGAAAAAACACGGAATAGGGACTGTACAACTTCAATTAAGAGGGTTATTGATTTCAGCTTCCAGGATGTAGATGAGCTTGTACGCCTGGTTCGGAATGCGACAAAGGCAATAAGTGGTGCTGGTCTTGGTGGTGCAAAAGATTAACTCATCATCGTCATCACGTATATATTGTATTTTTTTCCTCTCCACTAAGGATAGCAGCATTCTGAAAGGAAGAAGATTGACACATGGAAATTTGCAAGAAAAGAGGAAAGGGCTTTGATTTGCAATCACCAACTATGGAAAGAATTTTGGACATCAACTCCCAAAACAGAAACAAATTTCAAAATGAATAGGGATAATCAATTTTCCAAACACGTTCAAAACAGTTTGGGAAATTCCATTCGGTATTCACAATCCTTCCAAAACAACATTGGACGAAATGGGAAACCTCTTCATTACATTTTCGCATTCCTTCTATTCACAACAGCCACCTTGAGCCTATAAAAGAAAAGCACAAAATCATCAATTGATATAACAAAAAAACTCAGAGCAAAAATTCAACAATCGATTCACAGAAACCCTAAATCGAAAGAATCAACCTACGGAGCGAAACAATCAAACAATAAAGAATAGGAACTTATATTTTCCACCGTCGAAGCTATCTCAAGCCACGATCCCTTCTGTCATCGCCAACATCCTCGACCACCGCGAATCGACGAGAGGAAGCTCACCTTCGCAAGTCGTCGTCACCTCGACCATCATCATCCGCAAATTCGCCATTTCCATCCGCAAATCAAATCTTCGCCATGTCCACTTCGCCGTTGACCGCCGAGAATCTACGAAGGTAATCCATTCGCATCTCTATTATTTTGTACTATTGATTCGGTGTTTTTTTTTTTCAGGAAACGAAAATCGGAGAAACGAGAAAGAGAGAAGTGGAGGAAAGAGGTAGACGAACGGGAGATTGAAGAAGGAGAAGTACGGGCGCGATCGGAGAGGGGGGGATTTTCAATTTGGGGATTAGGGTTTTGCTTCTTTTCATTATTATTTTATTTTTCTGCTGTAATGCCTAATCACTAAACACACCACTAAACACACTCACCACACGATTAAACACTGCTAATCACGCCTAACAACCCTTAATCAATCTTTTATAAAATTAAACCAATAATCCTTTTAAAAATCAACCGTTTAGATAACTAAATTTTGATTAGTAATTTTTTAAATAAATAATAATATATCCTTTCTCTTGAAAATTATTTCATACTTAAAATAATTTTTAAATTAAATTAATAATACCCCCTTTATAAAAATTTAATTGAAACAAGTTTAACAACAGAAACCATTTTCATAATAAAACCTTTCATTTAAAAAATATAATTAATTTAACTTTTTATATAAAATCAAATTCACTAAAAAGTACATTTTCTTACAATTCAAATAATTTATACAACGTTTATAAATAAAATAAAAATAATAATTAATAAAACCTTTCATTTAAAAAATATAATTAATTTAACTTTTTATATAAAATCAAATCAACATTTTCTCACAATTTAAACCGAAATCAATCAATCGATCTAAAACTAATCAACATCGTAAAAATATAAAATCAATCGTGCACTTCACGACACATTCACAATTCACACCTAGCGCTTTCATGCGTATTTATTTATATATGTTTTATCCGCTTTTTATTTATCCACAATGCACACACTCACCTAGCGCTTTCATGCGTATGTGTATGGTTTTATTCTGCAATTTATTTTTGCATTCACATTCGCATTTATACTTATGCATCGCATTCCATCCAAAGGAAAATCCTACACATAATTCAACGTTGTGTGTAGTTGCACATCATATGCATCATACCCCCTCGATCCTTGATCCTTCAAGTTGATCGCTTAAGATAGGACTTACCCCATAGGAAGGACCTCGTCTTTATCTCTACAACTTAGACAAACAAACTACAATAAAAACTCTTCAAACACATTTAGAGAATAGATGTTAATCATCTCAAGCGAGATATAATCTCCACCCCCACAACAATACAATCAAACATGTAGGAACTTTGCCTTAAGAGCGATAAAGGCATACTTGGCGACCATCCGAGTATGTAAGACCTTTTCTTAAGACGATGCAAAGACCATTTCCTACAACCCCTCTACACTTGTGGTGATTATCTCTCCCTTAAAATGAAGACTCGTCTCTTCTCCTAAACCCAATCAAAACAACTACCCTAAACCCGTAGGAACTTTGACCACAGTCAAAGAACTCCTCTAACCCTTTAGGGTGAACTACAAAATACTCTGATTCCATTCCCCTAAGGATATGTAGGCATAAGATGCGATATCTTACCGAGTATACTTAGAAATAAACCATTAGGGTCTCTTTTAACCCTTAAGCAGATAAACACATAGCAATAAACAAATATAAAACAAGAGGTTCTTGTAGAGTACTACAGAAACTTAGGATGCTAGTACCTTCCCTAAGTTTAACCAACCCCCGAACCTAAACAATCTAACCTTGCATTTGCATTGCATAGTGGGAATTTCGATCTTTATCCCTTCCTTTGGACAAATCAAAGTTCGGTTGCAAATTGAATAAACGATTCAAACTAATCAATAGTTTGGTATCAAAATTTCACCGCGACAGCCATACTGCTCAACATCCACGAAAACACAGGTTAGAAAAACACATGACTATAAACATCCTATAGTCAGAATCTACTACAACACTGGTCGGACGGACCAACCTGCTCTAATACCAATTGTAACACCCCACTATACCCCGTACGAGTAATATATGGAATTAATTCATAAAATATATCAGAGTTCTCCAAATCAGTGGGATATCACACTAAGTCACTTCATTTAATTTTAACAAAACCAACATCATCTAGTTTCAATTAAACAGCGGAATAAAAATTGATTCTTCAAATATAATTCCCCTCAATAAGAGGTCATACATCCTTAGTCCAACAAATGAAGATACGTAACAATAAATAAATAAAATAGTCAATTAACAACGAAATCTCGTCATCCCATGTTACGTATCAGAGCGACTCCTAAGACTCGATCAAATAGCAACACACTCCAAGCACTACTCAGGTACATGGTCATATGTACTCCCAAGAGAGCACAGACACAACAACAGAGAAGGGGTGAGAACTACATTCAACAAATAAATGGTGAAATACACATGCTAAGGAGTAGTTACACACTAACATAAAACCATACACGTAAAACCCACTTACACGTGCCACATCAATCACTCGGCATTAATAGCCCATTTACAATTACGATAATGCAATGTGACACACTGACTAGAAACAATGCATGTTGTACCAACACAATCACATACGGTTCACCCTAGAACCCAATTCCCTTTGGAATTCGGATAAGTCGTATATACGTTCCTCTGAACTACAACTTATCTCCACAACGACTTCCACAATGAAGTCCGGATGAAACTAGACACCCATCATGGATTCCCACCTAGCCATCTCCATAAGACACATGATATGAATATGCATGACAAAACAATTATGCAACATAATAAATCAAGCATAATTCACGATCAACAATGATCTACACGAGCCATCCGCTCACCGTAATCCTCTCAGGAATTACAAGAACTGCACAAGATTACCCACATTCGATAATCATGGCTCACCATCATCAAAACACACCCTCGCGGGCACACCCACATAATTCCACATTTTCCCGATTTAATTCATTACTCATATTCCTAAGTTCATTCTAGTCATATTAAGCATATCAATTAAACGGAGTTGCGCTTCAAGTGACCACTCGGCAGCAACCATAAAACCGGGGAAAAAAGTCACCCCAGACTGTCCATACGCGTATCAGCATGGCCCATACGCGTTTGTCCTGCTGTGATACGCGTATGGCCCTCCCTTACGCGTAAGACCAGAGGCCTAACCCCCCCCCCCCCCCCCAAAAAAAAAACCCTCAGAGACAAACCATACGCATATGACCACTCCCGTACGCGTATAGCCCATGCCCATACGTGTATCACCAGATGGTCGTGCTGACACTGGGGACATGGCCAGTATGCTACACGTACAACCCCTTGGGAAGTCCCTCATACACGTATTGACACCCCCAATACGCGTATGACCAGCAAATCTGTCAAAAAACTCAGATCTCAACCCCTCTACGAGTTTCTACCCCAGGTTCATCAATCTACCTTCTTCTTCTTCCTAAAACTCAAATTCTAGAACGATTTCATTAATCATATCTTCTATTCCTTCAAGATTCCAATTACTAGATTCAGTTTCGATTACAGTTAACGCTTAGTTTCAGATTTATTCACCTACAACATTCTACCACAGTTCCAGGAATTTTCCACACGAATTTCACATTCACACCAGAATCATGTACCCAACATCAGATAATAATCATTCGACAATAACAACAATCACAGAAAAAACCATGATATCACGAAAATCACATAAAGAGGTAAGAACATACAACTTCCTACGAGAGAAATGACCTCTCACTATCCTCTCATGTTAAATCACCTATATTGAAATCCATTCTCCCCCTACCTTGGATTGAAGTCTTTCTTGACAACAATGGAGATTTTGGTTTTTCTTGCCCTAGCTCTCCTTACTCTGTCTTTTTTCTCTTTTACATTAACTGACTATTCTCCCACTAATTCTCTATTAACCCCTTAATCAATTCTTTAATTCACTCAATTTAATTATTATTACTACTACTACCACTACTAATAATAATAATAATAACCATAATCCCTCTAATATTATTATTAATAATAATTGGAATAATATTAGTGATCTTACTACCCTTCACCCTCGGTCCTAACCTCATACCTTAATTAAGGACATCACACCAATACACATCATAGAAAATACAAAAGCGACTAAATAGTTTAAATAGGTGTTACAATTTCCACTTGTTTTAGGTGATTCATAATGATGTGCCAAACTATCTCCACTTGTTTGTGATAAGTCATAAGGATGTGGCAAACTAGAGTTGTATAATTCAGCAACTTATTCCTACAACCAACCTATTCTAATTTTACTGATATGACAGTTACCATATTACCATATTTACAACAAGAATCATAAATACAATTAACTCTCATAATAACAAGAATTATAGAATATAACTGTC